ATACATACATACATACAAACATGTATACACATAAATACATGAATATTTATATGTTTCTGTATGTACGTGGGTATGCATGCATGTATGCATGCATGCATGCATGCATGCATGGATGTATGTATGTATGATTATCTAGAGAGATACAGAGAGAGATAGATCGCAACATTCCAGAAAAGTATCCAACTCAATATAGGACCGACTTGGTGACAGCTGTGCATCTTCTGCTTCCCGCCCGTCAGTCCGCATCAGAAACAGTGGGGCTACAGGCAGCAAGCAGAACCTCGAGTGAACGCTTTGGGTTGCAGGATTGGGCCCTACCCATACACTCCCGCCACTGCCAGGATTACGGCTGCTGCCACGGCTATGACAACGACTACTGCGACTACTGCTGCTACAGTTGCTGCTTATGCCAGTGTTGGTACGACTGCCGCCCGTGCTGCTACAATGCAAGGACTGCGACAACGACAATTACGACGCCTACTAGTTCCACCCACTTGTTGCTGCTGCCATACTCCTACTACTGCTGTGGTCGAAACGTCTGGCTGAGCACTATGCGCAAAGACCCGGAAAACTCCAGCCCTCGATTGGGCCCCAAACCCAACAGCCCTGCTGTTTAAACAAAAAAGTCCACACCCTCGGCCCAAGCAGACCCCAAGCCGTATTGCCCCTAAGCCCAATCTGAAGTTCCAATTTCAGCTGCCGGTACCAGCGGCATGGGCCCACACAGTGCCGGCTGCAACAGCTGCCTCAGGGTATGGTGCCGGTCATGGGCACTTCTGCATGACGTTATTCTACAGCATGGCCCCTCTAGCACGTTGCCTTTAGCACGTTCCAAGTCTGTGGCAGCTTCCTTCAACAACCTTCTCAGCATCATTACTCCTATTGCTACGGTTGGTTGCTCTTCTTATGGCTCTTGTTGTTCTAAATGCTCAACCCACTTCGAGCTATCGCACACACCGAAATCCATCAAGATCTGACCCGAAGTCTCGCGAATCCATTGTGCCGCTTGTTGAGTCACACCCCGGGGCCGTCAGTTTGAGGAGGCATCATTTCGACGCAAGAAGTTCAAAGAAGCAGGCAGCACGACTTAGATTTCTACGGGCCTGTAAACCCTCAATCTGGCCCGCTGCACAAGGGCGAACCTCTCTTTACGGTTAGGGATCCTTTGTCTGCTGCAAGGGAGATCTTCCTGCTAGAAAGAATTCTTTCAGTCAAACATACTGTTTAGTTCTTCCCATACCAGTAAAGTCCGAAATCGCGGCACCTAACCGTAGGACGTCGACGCGCTCCGCCGTTCTACACAGAGACAGACTTAATTGCTTGGCCGTTGTGTTCCCAATACCCCCTGCTCAAACCTGAATACCCGAAGCCCACTGAAGAAAATTCCTGATCCAAAAGAGCCTTCATTTCAGAATCCTAAGCCCCAAACACCCCCTAAACCCTAAAACCCCCCCATCCAGACAATCCTAAACCCAAGCCGTCCAGGTGCGTCAACTTGGAGTTCCTGTACGGGACGAAGGAACCACACCTGTGCGCCATCAACGGCTTAGGGTCTATAGGGTTTAGCGACCGTGAATGGCGAAAAGGAAACAAGAGATGGGAACAAGCCCCCATGGGAGAAAGCATTTTGTGTCGTCCCTAAAGCCTAAAACCTAAAAACTGCCCAGTCCTTCTCTCAATTTGGTGGACCACAGATGAGCTAAACCCAATCTAACAGTCAGACAAGGTTCTGGGGTACGTCATAGTACATGCGTAAGCGGAACTGTAAGAAGATACTGATTGAATTTCTTATTTACCGACCCCTCTAAACCTTCGAGCAGGCTGCAGAAAAGAGCTATGGGCCGCCTTTTCACACCTTGCACCCCAAACCCTAGGACCCCTTGTTCGAACTCGGGAAGGTTGCAGGTGAGCAGTCATCCTAAAGCCCTGTGCAAAGAAAAGAGGCCTCGGAACAGTTGGCATAGGGTTTATCTGTTACAGGTATGTTGTGTTTTGTTGTAGGGCTTGTTTAAAGGCATAGTTGCACTGTGCTTTTACGTTCAAAAACCTCAAGTCATTGCACTGGTAGGCGTCTGTATTGGAAGGCAAAACGAACTATAGCGGGTCCCTTCTCTTCTGGATCTACGTCCGAACCTTGACGCCTGACTGTTGCTGTTCGCCATGTGCTCTGGTTAACACGTTGCAACTCCTTTCTTACATCTGAAAAGAAGACGCCGAACCTCAGTCAAAATCAACACACGATTCTAACACCTAAAGGCCATACGCCAAGCATGACAAGACTGTGCATCCAAATGTAGGGTGTCGAACTTAAACATGGGGCCCTTGTAGAAGGTTTAGGCCTTTGGGGTTCAAGGGCTGCACATGAAGGGGTCCTAGGATAGGGATTTCACAGGGAGTGAGCTTCAACTTGAGCAGCCTTGAACGTCGACAAACTTGGTGTATAGGCTTCGCGACGGCTTTGTATCGAGGCTCAATTTGAGTGTCTTTTGGGCTTCTATAAGAAGAAGCCTTAGGGTCAAGCCCGGCTTTGGGTTCCTTAAGGCGTCCGTTCAGGCTTTACGTGGGCACAAGAATAAGGGTTCTATAAGGCCAGGGCTTTCGAGTTTAGTGCTAAGGGTATTGGGTGTTTTGGGTTTAGGGCTTAAGGCCTTCAAAAGGTTTAGGGTTTGGGGTTTTAGGGCTTAGAAGGCTTTTGAGGCTTAGGGAAGCTTTTGGTGTCCTACATAAAAGGCAGGAAGTTGATCGCAGGTGATTTCAGCACCTTGCAAAGTCCCTAACTGAGTCTCAAGCTGTCGAGTGGTATGATTCAACCACCACTGTAAGCGCAAGATTTGGGCCGAAATCGCTAAACACGGCCTCGGGATGTACTCTACTGAATTCTTAGGACTCACATAGAATGGTCTTACTATAGCCGTTGTCCCGAATTCTCGCGGGGTGTAGGGCCTGCAGTTGGGTCCCTAGTTTTGCCGAGCACCCAACTTAAAAGACATGATTTGCTAATAACTCCATAGGAGGGGCCTCCCGCAGGCATCAACCACGGCTTGGAGCGACTCCACGGCCAGAATCCTGCGGAGCAACTACCCCTAAAGCCTCGTTTCCCTAAGCCTTTCAATCCCTCAATCACTGAACCGCAATAGATCCACCCGAAGCCTAAGCCCTGAACCCAAAACCCCCAAAATCTCCAAGCTTGACGAACCCCTGAACCTTACAACCCCAAAGCTTAAACAAGTCTGAGAACTTCCCAGATCCATTTTTGAGTCAGACGCTCAGGCCAACATGCCAGAACACTCAAGTTCGGGTTTACGGTAGGCTTTAGGGGTTTAGGGAGGGTTTTGCTTCTCGCCTCCTGCGCGCTGGGTTCGACGGGCGATCCGAATTCGCTAAGTCCACGAACCGGACCGTCGAGGTGGCGATCTGCTCTCCTTGAGGCGGAAAAGGAAAGGGATTGGGGTTGGGAGTGTAAGATTAAGGCTTCAGAATTAGAATTGGGTTCTGGTGCCGATTAATTATACCATATTTCTACAGGGCCTGCGTGGGCATATCGTTTCTGACAATGGGATCAGCAAGCCTCGCTCCTTCCGGTCGGGCCAACAGGAATTTGAGCCGTAGCCATTGGTTTAGGCTTTAGGGTTGAGGTTCAGGTTCAAGGTTCATGGTTTAGATGGAAAGAAAGACGTGAATGTAAACGTGGTTACGTTCATTTTCCTGCTTTCAGTTGCACTGTTTGCATGTGCAGTGAAAAGAACTTCTTAAATTAACAGGAACGAAATGAAGAAGTAAGAATCGTGCATCTCATCATGTCGCCCTTTTCCTGTTTAATATTAGGTCTTTTGATGGAGCGAACAGAGGCCTCAAATGTACTGTAAAGCGCAGGTTTTTCCTTTCCACTTACCTTCACATTGTAAAATCTGAGCCCTGTTCCTCTTGTGTCCGTGTTGTTTGTCTTGGGTCTTTTCGCACTTTCGTTTCTTTTCAATTTTCATTGCGGAAGGCCGACTTAGAAAAACAAACCAGCTTAGTAAAGCAAACAAGTGAACAAGGACCAGATGACAGAACTAGGTGTAATGGATGGTGAACGAAGTGAACGGAACGTCTGTGTGTTACTGTTCAATGTGAGCGAAACAGTTAAGGAACCGCAAGCGTGCTCGCTCATATCAATCTAGAACACGGGCACACAATGCCCAGTTTTCAAATGATAAAACCGTACATTCCTCACGTTGTACTAACCGTTCCTGTGTCTCGCCATTAGGAACTCAAGTCAAAGAAAGCAGGCATGGGTGTTTCCGTTGCGTTAAGTTTAATGAAACGAAGCAACACAATGAACTGAGGCGTGTGTGTTGTAATAAATTTAACGCAACCACTGCTGACAGACGAGTTCCTGTCACGCCGTTTCTGTTTTGCCACAGCCTTACCCTCACCTCCCAGAAGCACGCCATGAAATATGACCTACAGTACAGGATGTTTTACTCCAATAAAAGATCATGAAGGAACGACAGCATGCCACTGTTGTAATGAACAAAGGGCAACAACACACAACAGAAGAATATATGAAAGGTTTGAGCGAGAATCGCATGTAAGACAAAGACACAAAGAACATACGTGACAAGGAACAACAGCTTTCATGCTGTATTATTTGAAGTTTTGGCTGTCAGCAAAAAAATGGTGTACGCAGGGAAAAGTAAAGGTTAATCGCTCATTATGTTCCTTTCTTGTTGTGGTTCTCGTGGGCTGTTTGGTTAATTACGTTCCTCTTACTCTTCATTGACAACGCACAAAACAAACAAGAACCTCTCGTCATAATACAACAGATGAACGAGTTGAATACAATGAACCTATCTTTTTAATTAACTGTAATGAAGGCAGGGCCTAACTACAGTGAGTATAGCTCTTTTGCCAGAGGCCAAATAATTAAAATAAATGAACACGCGCTCCCTTTCGCTTCTTTTGTTTTAGTTCATTTGATTTTGCTCTTTTGTTTTTCGTCGTTCATCGTAGCTATGTTTTAAAAATCTATATGGGAGAGGAGAAATGCATGCAGCGTGTGCTTTTTTCACGAAAATAGGCACGAAGCGAATGCGGAGAACGAACTGAAGAACGAATAATTGGAGGGTTCAGGGTTGTTTGACACTCACACTCGGACAAGCCTGGCAAGGTCTGCAACGATACTGGTCTCGTCGAAACGTTAACACCATACTCAGCACGTGTCACCGCGTACAGTAAGCTGTCAAGGAAGGCTGGTTCAGGGTTAAGGGTTGAGGGGGCCTTAACTTCTATGGCCCCTTGAGCCTGTGATACTTCAAAAGTATTGATAATGCTAACTTGATCTGATGCACAGAAAACTGCTAAGGAGACACCACACTTGAGGCCTTGGGAGGAAGGGCAACAAACAGGACTGTTAGCAAGCGAAGTGGAGGGAATTGCAAACAAATGAATAAGATTTCTAGCATATGGGGGCCTGATTTATCAGCACAGGGTTTCAGGGTATAGCATAGTATTATACTATGCTATGTAGTTATACTATAACTACATAAGTAGGACTCCGGGCGTGCCATGACTAGCTATGCAGCATGCTGCAGCGCTAGGCTATGTATGTTAGGCTATATATAGGGGCAAGGAAGGCTAAACCCTAAACCCTCAAGGAAGGGAAAACACCAATAGCCACACTAAAAACGCTGCATGCTTGAGGACTTACATCAGGAAGTCATAATAAGGACCCCCCCCTCCCCCCCAAACCCTAAACCAGGCAGGAATCACCCCTAAGCCGAGCCAAGGAGCCTCTGAAGCGGGAAACGTGAAGCTGGAAAAAAGTGGAGACCTGTTCGGGCTTCGGGCTTAGAGAGTTCAGGTTACTGGTTTCAGGTTTAGGGCTTCGGGCCTGCGGGTCATAGGGTTCAGGGTTTAGGTTTCAGAAGGGACTGTCCTCTCCAAGGGTTTCGGGATACCGGTGTGTGCGGGGTTTAGAAAGTCGCGGGCAACGAGCTTCTTTTCAGACCTCCGTAGAGGCTCAATACTGTGGCTGGAGTTCCTGGTAGTTTTTCGGGATTGTCGCAAGGTTTGTCGAGGCTGGTTCAGGGGGTTGGGCCGAGGTTGCTCTGCCAGTGAGACGCCGTAGCAGTTTCGGTGTGCAGTTCACATCATGGCGTAAGGTGCAACGCACTTACTTTAGACTTTAGAGGTCGGTGCCCCGCCTTGGATGATGTGCCACGACAACCATGGCACCGCCAACGAGAAGTTTAGCTCGATATCTCTTACTTCATCTGTCTGTCATCCTGGACTCCCAAGGCCAACCTCGCGTCAGGTGTGTTGAAACTGATTTGCACGTTTTCCTGCCAGGCCCTCTGGTACAGCAGACCCTGCCTGCCGTCTCGCATAACCTGTCAAAATCCTTGCTCTTTGGCGCCACCGCCACAATCAAAAAAAATGCAAGATCCAACTCAAGCCCCAAGAGAAGTCCACCCTCTAAATTCAGAGCTTACAAACTCGGCTGCATAGCAGAGCATCGTGGAACAAAGCAGGGTCAGCTGGTTGAGCATCATCGTGACTTCTGTTGGGGCTTTGCTCTATGTATAGGGTTGTTGGACGTTGCGGGCATCAAGACTTTGTAAATTGCGGTCAGCAGTTGCCAAAAAAGCCCACCGAGTGCTCGGCTGTCGTTCACCTACAGCACATCTTTCATCAGACGCTACCTCTAAACTTGACTGCGTTGGCAACACACAGCTCCTGTCTGTCATGTCCATATCATCCCCGCAATCGTGAGCATCTCCACGCATCATCACCGACACCGCTTTAGAGCGCAGTGAAGGCATGCGCCGACATTGAGAGCAATGACGGTGCTGCAAGCCCAGCAGACGGAATACGTACGGCGAATTTAGAAGCCAAAAATGCTCATGCAAGCACGGACAGTTCAGGACTGGTAGGCTTTATCGCAATTCTCAACTCACTGGTTGAATCTACTGTGGCAGTGTCGCAAGCCTCCCTGGAGATTAATTTTCCTGTAAAGTCGTGCCTCACTGCTCTGGATCTCCATATTCGTGCACGCCACCTGTTGTAGAGCATCTTTCAAACTTTGCTGGCCCTGCAAAAAAGGGGCCTATGACGAGTCTTAAGTGGGCTGCACGGTTTCCACATAATCCTATGCTTTCGAATGGTTGGCGCAAGTGTCAATGATTTGTGTGTCTTGCTCACTCGAGATTTTTCCCTCTCGTTCTGCCGTGCAATTATGCCAATGCATCCTGTCGGCATCATCAGGCACTGATGTTCCTTGCATTGTATCATAGAGGCGTGAGATGTGAAACTGTGAAACCATAGGGCGTTCTTGAGCAGTGTTTGTGCGTGAGGGAATGCTTGACTGTGCGATCGAGTGGGTGAAGGAGAGAGGGAGGGACATAGGCACTTTTTTAGCTCCGGCACCAACACACTTGGAAAGAAAACAGACTTCTGTAACAACCATGCAGCTACTACCACGACGACGGTTGGAAATCCGTCAAGTCGCTAGTAGTTCCACGAAGGCATCTGGTGCAATTGTGACCGCGAAGAATTCATTACGGGGCCGTTGCGCTCCAACAAGGCTTCAGAAGGGAGCGTATGGAAAAAGGCAGGAAGGGACAGCGAAACCATCCCAAAGCCAAATTGGCTGGCCGATGCACAATTACATCGGAGATGCCTTAAGCCTTAAACTTAAACCCTAACACCTGGCCGGTCCTGACACCCCTTTCTTGAAGCCAGACTCTGCCAATCAGCTGGGAGGACCCTAAACCCCAAGCACGACGACTCCGAACTTTGCCTGGATGGATGCGAGGCCTGCGCACATCTGCAGCTTCTTGGGTAGCTGAGGGAATTTGGGAAGGGCTCTATCGGGTTTCGGGTGTAAGTACCCGAACCCTAAACCCTAAAAGGTCCATGAGTCGGACGACGGATCGGCCCGATTAAAGGAGGAGAGAGAGAGAGGCTTTGCCTATCCATTCCTCTAAAAGATGCACGTATTATGCTGTACGCTTGGCATGTAGGGGATATAAAGAGATATGAGTATTCATCTAGACACCTCTACTACAGCTCGTACTAGTCTCTGAGCTTGTTTCCATGACGACCTGTGCATTTGTCTCAAAGCCCATCCAACCATGACTTGCATGGAGAAGCACAAAAGCTTGGCCCCTGATTCTAAACAGTAAACACCATCCCAAGACCCAGAAGGGACCTGCCTACGGCCGCAGCCTGTGTCTGAACCTGATACATCCGGAGCTGCCGATTTTAGGGTTTAGGGTTTTCAGCTTAAGGCTTGGCTCTGGGGTTTAGGGTTTAGGAGGTAAAGAAGATAGCCGTCAAAGCCTTGAGCCCCACAACCGCCGAGCCCATGACGACGGGTCTAAGCCACGAACCCCTCTTGAACCCCAGACCATAAACCTCAAACTCCCTAAACTCTAAACCTCCAAGCCCAAGCCCCAACGCTAAACCCCCCCCGCTGAAACCACCAAAACCCCCAACCGGACAGAACCCTCATGGAAGATTCAAGAGATCGGGGACCCTACTAAGCCCTACTAGAAGTCCAACATCAAGAGCAGGATCCTTGGTATCACATCACGGGGGAAAAGAAGCCTCTTCGAACCACACACCCAGCACGCATGTTCTTGTCCAACCCTCCTTGGGTTTATTATGTTCAAAGAGTGAAGACTAAGCATGATTCCTTAGGCGAGGACCGGGGCACCGAAACCATAACCGGCAGGTTGTTTGGGATTTAGGGCGCCTTGAGCGCTAAATCCTAAACCAACTTACCGTTTGAAGGACTTACAGAAATCAGAGGAAGGAGCCGTGAAATGGCAGGTTGTTTGCAGCCAAGGTACATCCGAATGGAGGAACCTGATTAAGTAACCCTGGCGCTGTAACTCGAAAATACAAAGGGCTAAAAATAAAGAGCCCAGAGCCCTACTAGATAGTAGAAGCCGAAAAACCCCAAATGTTCAACACCCAATAAACACAATCCGTAAGAGGTAGTGTATAGGGAATCCTAGCACTATTTGTCGTTAATCCGGTCTCCAGCTTCTTGGGGGTGTACTAAAGACAGAAGGGCGCTTCATCAGGTTCTTTTTGAAACATCTCCACGGCCTTGCTGCAGGAGCTCGACGATGTGATCCGGCGAGGAAGCCACGTGCCACGAGAGGTCTCGATCCAGCGGAAGTTCAGGGTTAGGTTTATGGAAGTAGGGTTTTTCCGCTTTCGGGCTTAGGGTTTGGTTTTCTCCGGTTTTGTTGGTTTGGGGCTTTAGGGTTTGGGGTTGAATTCAGGTTTTATAGAGCCTTGGGGGCAGGTTTGGCCCTCGAGGGCTTCAGGCTCACTGTAGGGCTTCTAGAGTTTCAGGATTCGGGGCTTTAGTGCTCCAGGATCAGGGCCTCGAGTTTACCTTTGATGCTCAGTCTGGGTCGGTCTCAACATGCAGGGCGTTTCTAGGGTTTAGGGTTCATACGAGGCTTTGGGTTCGGAGTTCTGTAAGGGCTTTATAGGGTTGATGCTAGGTGAGGTCTTAACATCTTTCGCTTCACCAAGTGCGCATGCCCATGGGCACGCATGTTTAAACCCCAAACCCCTACAGTAAACTTCGCATTTAGGATTGATCGAAACGGAGGTTCCTGCACAGCACTAGTGGGCTCCTTGTTATGGTTCCTTTACAGAAGTCCTTAAAGGGCGGGGCTTTTCGGGGTTTAGGGATGGGTTTGGGGATCTAGGCTTCTTGCCTTTGTTAACGCCTGGTAATGACTTCGGGTTTCGGCTCGATCCCTTTTGGGGGTCTCGGGTTTGGGCTCGGATCTTTGACTCTCCGCGGCCGCGGTATCACCAGAACAGAGATACTCCGATTCCATAAGCTGCGGCCGAAGCCCCAGACTCCTTGTCCTGCAAGAACCCGAAGCAGCCAAAGCCGCAAAAAACTCTTCCAAGCTCTCCAGGTCTCGAAGACAGAAGCCCTACTCATGAAGGAAGAACCCCAAACCCTGCACCCTAAACCCTAAACCCAAGGGTTACGGTAGTGCTTTAAACGTCGACACCTGTACTAGGCCGTGACGGCCTGGCAGGCTCACGCCCTCGACACCATGCTTCAGCCGAAGAAGGTCTCCTCTCTCTTTCAACAGGTCTCGCAGCTCCTGGCTTCTGTTTAGGGGTTTAGGGTCTAGGGTTTGGGGTCGGGTAGGGCTCACAGGGTTTAGGGTCAGCCACCTATGGCGAGTTTGTGATAAGCAGCCAGGCAGTTGTGGCAGCTTCTACGGCTATGGGATTATGTGGCGATGTTCCAGTGGCAGCGTGGTCGTCGTGTGGCATGAGCCACCGTGGTCGGTGTAGAACAACATGTACAAGTTCCAAGGGCGATGAAAGCCCACACTGCCCATTTCGATCTATTTTGCCACTTATGATGGCAATCGCGAGGTTCTGAACACAACAGGACATGTAACGTGCAATGAATATGCAGCCAACAGCTATGTTAATCATGATGAACAAAAAAGGACAGGAATGGGAGCATAGACGATGAAATGACTGGATGCCGAAATAATCGTGAACCACAATGATCCCGTGACTCATGGCCCTATCGACTGGACTCGTCACACGAAAAAAACTAATCATCATCGTCAACATGCCATCGCGCCCGACAACAACGCAATCAGCGTCCACAACAAAAAATGCAACTGAACCCTAAACCTCTCTGTAAACCCTAAAACGAACAATCAACCCCTCACGGGGCACAGAAGATAGGACCCTTGTCAAGAACACTCCGGCCTCGCATGATAAACAACATCAAAAGCGACACGAGGACCCCGAAGCTTCAATAAGCCTGGGTAATTAGTAGTATTCCCTTATAGTCCGTATTATATAGCTGTACGTAGCAGTACTCCTTTACGGTCGGCATTCTAGCTATAGCGATTATAGTACGATCATACCCCAGAACACTGGTGTGCTCTTCGGGTTTGACTTGCACTGGATCGTGCCAATGTACCCTTATTCACAGGCAGTCTGAAGAAGCCAGCAGCTACAATAGGCCCCTTGCATCGGTCCATGTGCGCAAGGAAATACCAGTCTAAGCGAAGGCTCATCGAAGCTGTACCCTAAACTTAAACCCTAAACCTTGTTCTCTTGTTGCCCAGAAGGGAAGACGCAGCTCACGCAGGCAAGTCCTCGATGTGCATGCTGAACATTGAGACCTGCAGACTGCTCCCGTGCGTCGGCGGCGGTCGT